TGGGCTAACGAATCTGACGGTGAAACCACCAAACAGGAATTGAGGCTGTATCTCGGCAAAGACTTTGCACACAAAACTTGGTAAGCATCTTCAGGACCATGACCTGAGGTTATGCAACAAATTTCATGCCATACTGGTCAAATGTAACAATAACATGCTAAAAAATGCTTACATCTAACTGCCATTTTTTCTACCTCTCCTCCAAATTTTGTCCAATCTTCACCAAATTTGGGTCACATCATCCTGACACCTGTCTAAACAATGCTGCAGCAATGCCACCCTGCTGCCCATTTGTTCATCTAGACCTTTCCTCCTACAGTCAGAGAATTACACCACTGTCCGTGGTCAAAACATAAACATCATGAGTGAAACACAAATCACTCTGGAATTCCTTTGCCTAAAGGTATGGCTCTGCTTTCCTGTGATTGCTTAGGCAACAACTGTAGCGTGTCTGTGAATGTGTTGAAAATTGGTAGGCATCTTCTTTGGTGGACCTCCTAACATATCTTCTAATATGACTCAGATACACTAAAAAAAAAGGCTGCCAGCAGCCAATCAAATTTCAGCAGCTAATAACATCAAATCTGAATGGCCTACCGGTACGAAAATGGATATCTTTTACAATATATGAAAACAAATATTTGTACCGAATTTTGTGAAAATTGGCCACAAGCTGGCGCTATAAGAAGCAACTTTATGTTTTAGCTAATAACTCCGCAACCGTGTGATAGAATTAAAAATTCTTGTTTCTTCTGAATCCTTGCTTTAAGCCCTAACAAGTGCAAATCTCATTTATATGTTTATCTCTAAAGTTTATCTGCCATTCTAATTTTTTGAAAAACCTACTTTTTCGAACTTATCTTAGGCCGTTCATCCGATTCGCATGAAACTTGGCATGTATGATCCCCAGGCCCTCAAGACAAAAAATTGTCAAAAGAATTTTGATTCGTCAAAGCATTGCGAAGATATAAATTAATTAATTGGTCAGGTGATGCCCATTTTTACAAACTGATCTATATCTGCAGAACACAGTATCCAAACTTAACAAAACTTGATACACATAGACAACAGGACATTCTGAGGACGCACAACAAGTCGCATCAAATTCCACCCATAGAGAACGCTAAAACTGAAAAACTACTATAACTCCCCAACCGTATGATCCATGAAGTTGGAAATTGGTATGCATCATCTTTGGTACACATGCTAACATATTCCTTAAATATGATTTGGACAAATCAACAAACATGGTCGCCAGCAGCCAATCAACATTCTGCAGCTAGTAATGTCAAATCAAATTGTCAGACTCTTACAAAAATTGACACGATCGTACACACTGTCAAAACGAGGCTGTGTACCAAATCTTTTGAGAATTGGCCACAAGGTGGCACTATAATAAGCAAATTTGCATTTTTGCTAATAACTCTGCATCTGTGCATGCTAGCATACAATTCTTGCTTCCTATGAATCCTTGCATCAAGCGCTACAAAATATGTATCTCTGTTTTATTTTTATATATAAAATGTATCTGCAATTCTAATTTTCTGAAAAAGTGAAGTGAAGTGACTTGTGGCTAAGTATGGTGACCCATACTCGGAATTTGTGCTCTGCATTTAACCCATCCAAGTGCACACACACAGTAGTGAACACACACACCGTGAACACACACCCGGAGCAGTGGGCAGCCTTTTTTGCTGCGGCGCCCAGGGAGCAGTTGGGGGTTTGGTGCCTTGCTCAAGGGTTTCACCTCAGTCGTGGTATTGAGGGTGGGAGAGAGCGCTGGTCATTCACTCCCCCCACCTACAATCCCTGCCGGACCTGAGACAAGAAGATGTCACAAAAACTTACCTTTCTGAACACTTTTTTTTGGCTGATTCACATAAAATGAGGTATGCACCATCTCGAGATACTCCAGACAAAAAGTTATCAAAAGAGCTTTGATTCATATAATCGTTGTGGAGATGTAGGCCCATACATTTGTGGGTATGGCAAATAATAACTAATTGGCTTATATCTTGTGAACACAATGTCCAAACTTCATGAAACCTGGTACACCTGGACAACAGGACAGTCTGAGAAAACCTGCCAAATTTCATGAACTTCTGATGTTCGGGGGACTAACAGCAAATTCTAAATGATCAGCCATTTATCTCAAAGTGAGTGAAGGATGTTGGCTGTAATACTAATGTTGCCCACAAGAGGGAGCCACAGGATAATAAATCTTTTTAAGTCTAATCTTTTCCAATTTGAATGGCTGAATAATTGAACATGTAATAGAAAAATGCATAGAAATTAAATTAAATGCATAGAACCATATATCGAACAATATCTCCTGAGTTTTCTAAAATAAGTTAGCAGTCATGATTAAATAAAAGTGGGCATCAAGACAGTATTGAAAAGACAATATTATTGTCTCTTTAATATAATATACAGATTAATATTTGTGTAGACACATTTATTTATTGTGTCAATAGCAATAATAAAATGAACACTTATGTGCTGAGGTACAAGCATAAAAGTGTTCATACAGAGACACCATTTTCACATAACCCATGTAATTCTTGTCACACCTCCACCAGACCTTCAGCATCCTCCCACTTTCTGCTCCCTCTTTCTGGAGTACTAACCATACACACCTGCCATCAGTTATCCTGTTCATCAAGACCTCCAAAAATAATCACCTCACACTCACCTCTTTGTCTAGTTATTATTATTATCATTATTATTATCATTATTATTAATATTATTGTTATTATTATTATTATTATTATTATTATTAGTAGTAGTAGTAGTAGTAGTAGTAGTATTCTGCCCTAAAAACTGATATGACCACATCACCCCTTATCACATCTCTGTCAGGTTAGTGCATAAAGGGTGCTGAACTACAGTACCCATCAGCCACTGCATGTCACATGACCACACAACATGTTCCACTGTTCATTCACACCTGTTTCTTGTTTCACCCAAATGAGCACCACTATTTAAGATCAAGTTTTTCTGTGTCTGTCTGTCAAGCTTCTGTTGCTGTTGTGTCTGGTGTTACTTTGCCTGCATTAGTCTTGCTCGTAGTCTGTATGTTTTGTTGTTTTGTGTTTACTCACCGCTGTAGTTGCTTATTTTACACTGCGCACAATAAAATCTGCACTTGCATCCACCTTTGCCTCCTTTACATGGCAAGAAGCAACAAACAGAAAAGATGAAAATACTTATTTTAAAACAAACTAATACCACTCCACACACAGTTGCCTGCTGTCATTATTTTTATTACAATTAATACAATTAATTTATGATGTATGATTACTTTTAACCATTTTACAATATATTAAATTGGTTTTAACAATTTTTAATAATTTCCCTGCAGGAAAATCCAACTAAAAAAACTAATAGGGAGACCTTATAAGTAGGCCTACACTAGTGAGGCATGCATGCACAGGTTATAACTATCTCAAAGTTTTGTCAACCAATGGCATGATTTTGGGGCAGGACTACCTGTAATAAACTGAGATTTTAGTGGTGTGCAATAAAGACTATATAGTAAATGTTACTTATTTAATTATATAAGTAATTATATAAATAATTATCTAAATAAAAATAATATATATTTGTAATTATATAAGTTATTTATTTATTTATTTATTTATCACCAACTATAGACAGTATAGCCATTACCAGAGTGAATTTGGTGAACAGTAAAGACAGTCTGGGTGAAATAAAGGAAGGTAACAAATTTCAGTAACTATTTATTATGAACTGTAAGATTTGGTGACCCTTCTGTATCTCTGTGACTGTTTACATCAGATCAACATGCTTTCTATAAGATATGTGTTTAGACAAAACCAGAGTAGATTATTATAATTACATTAATTATAAAATTATATTGATATTACTTCTATTATTATTAATACACATCATATATACTTTACACATAAACTATTATTTCAAATAAAAACAATATTACTAAGATCAACAATAATAATAGTTAATATTTTTAATAAAATACTTTTTACATAAATAACCACAGTGGCAAAAGACACAAAAAATAATTTAAATCATCAGTCCCAGTAAACACACAGGAGCATGTGGGTGGAGTACACAGCGTTTAATTAACAATCACAATCATAAAACACAAACAGGAAAGACAGAAGCTGCAGTCTTGATGACAGAGCACACACGTGCACGCGGAGAGCTTGTCTATAAGCGCTTGAGCAGACTCTCTCCGCGCTCCCGATCACGTGCACGCGCAGCCAGCGCGTTCCCGCGTGAACATTTACTGAACAGCGACCTCTAGTCACAGAGTTCACTACACTCTGATCCGGTGAAATCACAACAGAAATGCAAACAAACGCTGATACACATCCACTGACGTACAGCTCTAATTGTGCTTTAAAAAAAAAAAAAAAAAAAAAAAAAAACATTGAGGAGAACATAAAATTAAGGATGTTATTAAAGCAAGATATGTAATTATAGATATTATATATTAAAACACAAAGGTGCTATGACAGCAGGATGTGTGCAGTGGTATTTGGTGGCTCTGTGGTAAACACCTTGTCTTTGGCCTAGTAGTTACTGGTTTGAATCCAGCCCATGCCTGCTCTTGATATGTTGAGTTAAAATTATAGGCGTTTGTGATGTAAAACATTAAAACCAAGATGGTGTGTGACGTCACGCTTCCAGTTCTGTGCCATTTACTTAGTTATATGAAGGTGAAAAGGTCTATAAAAGAGGGTGCTTGTATGAGATCCTGTAGCTCATGTGGATGAGCATCACCTCTGGGTGGAGAGGTTGCTGGTTCGTATCCCAGCCAGGTCTCCAGGATGTGAGCGTGACTGGTTCAGGAATCAGTGGAAGGTGCAGGATGGCTGGAGGGTGTGTACCCGTATCATTTGTGTGTACCCGGCTGGAGGGTGTGTACTGCCCGGATGTTACCCCCCCACCTCATGGAGCACCTGCTCCATCACTCATCTGCCATTGATTCCTGAACCATCCACACTCACACCCTGGAGTCCTGGCTGGGATTCGAACCAGCAACCTCTCCACCCAGAGGTGATGCTCATCCACATGAGCCACAGGATCTCACGTAAGTGTCCTCTTTTATAGACCTTTTCACCTTCATATAAGTCACCGTCAAATAGCTAAGTAAACGGCACAAAATAACTGCCCATTTAACTCCACATTTCTCCACCCAGCAGAGGGACAAGCTGGATTTGAACTAGAAATCTCTAACACCTAAGGCAAGACTTTTACCACAAAGCCACCAAATCCCAACACAGACACAGGGGTGTCATAGCACCTTTGTGTTTTAAAATGACACACAAGAAAAAACCCACAAAACATTTTTGTCTCTTGCTTCATCCATATAGCCATTGTATATACAATATATATGTTCATCTCCATCAGTGAACAGCTGATAACAACAAAATAGACTTCATGCATAAACTGTAATGAATGTCCTGGTTACACAATTGCACTATTTGACCATGTAGTACACAGTTATAGAAGGGATTTATTTATAATCGCACTATCGGGTGTCACCCAGATGAGGATGAGTTCCCTTTTCAGTCTGGTTCCTCTCAAGGTTTCTTCCTCATGTCCTCTCAGGGAGTTTTTCCTCACCATCGTCACCTCTGGCTCGCTCATTAGGGATAAATTCACATATTTAAAATTTATATCCTGAGTTTATATATTTCTGTAAAGTTGCTTTGTGACAATGTCCACTGTTAAATGCACTATACAAATTGAATTTAATTGAACTGAATATACATAGTTTTTGTTTTATATTTTCCATAAAAGTCTTATGTGAGTATTATGTGTATTATCTAAATAAGGCCTAGAAACAAAGACGCTACAGAAGAAAGATGCTGAAAAAAATGACAAAAAAATGTGAAAATTAAGTTTTGAGTTTTGTTTCAAATTTATTTATTTTTAAATTAAGCATTACTTGTAAGTTGGTAGCTAAAGGATTACAGTAATTGTAAAATGGCAGCTATGAGATCAGCTTTATAAACTCTGCAGTTTGACTGGAGCAAAGAGAAGCACATTTTAATTTTCTGAAATATTATTACTTTATGTTATTATCAGGTATCAAACAACTTCTGTATCATTTTCAACAGAATCATGGACCTAGTTCACTTATAAATGTTAAATGTCATAACCATTTACGACTGCACCAAGTTACTGAACTTTATCAGAATAGAAATGTAGTGACACCATGAACAGTCAGCTGTAATATTTTCTCCTTCTCTCCTTCTTTTTTTGGAAATTCCTGCTCTGGAAGATTAAATTCCTGTATCTCACAAGTCTGAGTTTAATGATTGACCCGAGTGTAGGTTGTGTTCAATAAGCAGAGAGAATGTCCAGGTAAAGCTGGGGTTATTTAATGACTGATGAATAGGAGAGAATGTCAGAGATCTCAGCAGTAAAGATGGAGAGAACCGTGTTCTGCTTGCTCGTCGTGCTTCTGCTGAGCTTGTAACCCACACACAGGTCCTGTAATTAACACACACCTGCAGATCATTACAACTAACACACAGTTAATAGCCTATTAATTATAAGATTTCACAGCTTACATTTTGTATACATCTATTCTCTTTGCATTTTGAGTGCTACACAAATAGATTTCTCATTATCAGGGGGCCAAGCACCGAAGGTGCATAGGTACCCTATTCTTCTTCTTCTTCTTCTTCTTCTGGCTAGGGTGTCTATGGCAGGCCATAGAACTGTCTGCTAAAAAGTTGTGAAATTTGGCACAATGATTGGGGAGGATCTAAGCAACATTCTGACCAAATTTGGGCCAAGTGCTATCAACACTCTAGCGCCACCATCGGGTCAAATTTGGGCCTAATTTGGAAGTACGTTTATGATCATAACTTTTGAAACGTGTGTCCAAAATTTAAAAGCCAGGCATCCCTGGAACTCTGCTTTTTATCATCATTTTTCAATGTTTTAGCTTTTACACTTTTTTCTTAAGATATCCTTCACACAGGAAGTTGGCTGAAAGAGTCCACAGCAGTAAGGACTCATCTGGGAAACATCTTTAAACAAAAATAATATTACTAAAATACTTATTCAACTATTCGAGAATTACTTATTCACGTCTTTGCAGGTACGTAAGATTTCTTGTTTCTGAAATCATATTTTCATATCAAATCTCTTATCCCTGTTTTTATATTGTTACAGTAACTGTTGGACTCGGAGCAGCATTTCTTTCCATCATGGAAACCTTATTTGGTAAATAGACTTGGAGGATTTCCATGTTCAAAAATTACCCTTCAGATTTTTTTCCCCCTAAACTATTGACAGAAAACAGCATCCTCATGCTTGGGTATTATGACATAACCAATTATCAGAGTCACGTAAGTGCACTTTTAAGATATTCGTTTACATTATACGTTCTTATAATTGTGTCCGTTTTATTTCTGAGGGTATTTGCCAAAAGAAGACAAACAAGACCACTGTTTGTACGAACACCAATTCCTTTCATTTAAAAAGACAATACAAAATCCAGACATTTTTACATGAGCATAAACAATTTCAAGTGCAAATACCATTACCCACTCCATGCAACACCGTGGCCAAGTCGTTTCTCAAAGGAAATTAACCAAAAATAAAATAAAATAAAAATAATTCTTCAGAAAGCCAGTAAAAAAAAGAAAATTCTCACAGAGGGTAAATTATAATAATGACAGTTTTGCATTTACTTTTCTGAACATTCAATAAAGCTGGCTAATTTGCCATAACATTTTTTCATTTTTATTTATTTTAACAAATGACCTTTTTCCCTTTTCCTCCAGATCCAGCTGCACTGAGACGAACCTTTCGTAGGAAGGCTAGGGAGAAGAATAAGAAGAATAAGAAGCCTACACCTGCTTTAAAAAGGTGAGCACAACAAAAAAGATTTCTGGGTTCCTAAGTGGTGCGTCTAACATTTCACTCTAATATTGGGTGGTTATGAGGGGAAAAAAAGGGTTTGTTATATACCTTCCTTCTCAAATAAAGGCTCGAGAAAGATACACTGAATTGGTAGTTTATTTGGTATAATGAATAAACTGCAAACTCAGTGCATTTTTTTTAAAAACTAATTTTGGCAGAATTAATGTATTAAGTAATAATTCATTGCACGTCTGGGCAGGTCTTTGGAAGAGAAACTGGGGCAAAAAATAATTTTCTTTGTAATATAAACATTATAAAAAAGTATTTTATAAAAACAAACAAAAAATTCTAAAATATTTTCTCTTTACATACCAGTTCAAACTAAAAGATCAATCCTTTTGGAGGTTTTTAACGGCTGGATCGAGTTTCTATTCAGGAGGGCGCAATAAAAGATTAATCCCTTAACACATTAAGGGATGTTATTAATACAAGACTGTTATTTGGGATCGGCTTTAGCTCTTAGACTTGACATTAGTCTACGTTCATTTAATATTTACAATATACAATAAAACAAACTAAAAAAAAAATCCTACCATGGAGAGACGTCACCTGGTGTTATCAAGTGTGTTCGGCTTTTTTTCCCCCTCTCTCCATTTAACCGACGGGAACATTACACATTCGTAAGGCACACACAATGTGTTTGGAGTTTGTGTCATACCCACACTGTGAGTATTGAGCATTTGAGTGGGCAATCTGACACACAAGCTTTGTGTTTATATTGTAAAAAAAAAAAGTAGTGTGCACTACATCTTCACAGTGGAGCTTTTCAGATTCGGAAATCAACGAGCATGACTATGCCCTACTCCCTGTGAAGGCCACACCCTCCAGTGAGAACTCTTAAGGGGTCAAAAGTAACGGCCAGCGAGAATGCACTTCCAATCATTTGTAGCCTAATGTTAGCTAAATTATGTACAGGTCTGTGGAAAAAAAAAATTTACAGGTGGAATTTCCCTTTGAGGGCCTTCGGGGAGGAAAGGTCGAAAGGCTTGAATTTAGTGTAGCAGGTTTAAAGTGACTTTTTTTTAAATCGAAGAAGCAGCAATCGCATGTCCTGCAAAAAAAAAAAAAAAAAAAAAAA